TTAAGGAAGAAGTTCAAGCTGCTTTGAAGGAATTAGCAAAAAAATAAAGCCCCAGGAATAGATGGTATACCAGTTGACGTATTTCAAATAACAGATGCTGCCCAGGATGTGCTCACCAAGTTGCACCAAGAAATCTGGAGAACAACCATGTGGCCAACTGACTGGAAGAGATCTATATTTGTTCCCATACCAAAGAAAGGTGACCCAACAGAGTGTGGAAATTATAGAACAATATCATTGATATCACATGCAAGCAAGATTCTACTGAGGATTATCCAAAAACGACTGGAACAGCACATCATCAGAGAACTGCCTGAAGTGCAGGTTAGATTAAGAAGAGGCCATGGCACTAGAGATAATTATAGCTGTTGTCAGATGGATCTTGGCTGAAAGCAGAGAGTATCAGACGAATGTCTATCTGTGTTTCATTGACTATGCAAAGACATTTGACTGTGTGGATCACAACAAACTGTGGCTGACTATGAGAAGAATGGGAATCCCAGAACACTTGATCGTGCTAATGCAAAACCTATACTTGGACCAGGAGACAGTCATCAGAGCAAAGCAAAGCAAGGAAACACTGCCTGGTTCACAATTGGGAAAGGTGTACGCCAGGGATGTGTCCTATCTCCATACCTTTCAACCTATATGTGGAACAGATTATCCGGGAGGCTGGGCTCTATGAGAAGTGTGGCATCAGGATTGGTGGAAGATCCATCAACAATCTGCATTATACAGATGACACAACCCTACTTGCTGAAACTGAGGAGGACCTGAAGCGCTTGCTGCAGAGCTATGGTCAAAGACTTCAATATGGATTAAGGCTCAATATGAAGAAAAGAAAGATCCTCACCACTGGGTCAATTGGCAGCACCAGGATGGATGATGAAGAAATTGAGATTGTTCACAGCTTTAGTTTGCTTGGCTCCACAATCAACACTCTTTGCACCACTAGGTAGGAAATTAAAAGACATATTGCAATGAGAAAATCTGCTGTTTAGGGACCTCTCCAAAGTACTGAAGAGCAACAATGTCTCTCTGGAGACTAAGGTCCGTCTGATACAGGCCATGGTCTTTGCAATCACTTGTTATGCATCAGAAAGTTGGAAAGTGACTAGGGAGGATAGAAGGAGAATTGATGCCTTTGAGCTGTGGTGCTGGAGAAGATTATTGAGGGTACTATGGACTTCTAGGAAAACAAACAGATTCATCCTGGAAAGGGTTAAACCAGGCAGCTCCTTGGAGGCAAGGATTCTGAGGCTCCGTCTAAGATACCTTGGACATGTTGTAAGGAGGGACCACTCCTTGAGGGGGACATCATGCTGGAAGGCTGGAGGGACAGCACAGGAGAGGAAGACCCTCTATGAGGTGGATTGATTTAATGACTGGGGTAATCGGGATGGGGGTGTTGGAGACTGAGGTTGGCACAGGACAGAGAAGGGTTTAGGGCTGTTGTACATAAGGTCGCTATGAGTTGCAAGTAGCTTGACGGCACATAACAATAACAACAAGAACAACAATATTATTTCTATTTTATTAATAGGTGGGGGAAAGGCAA